GGGGGGGGGGGGATATATGCAGCCAGACCCCTATGTTTAACACAAGTTGTTTCCAAATGACCCATGATGAGCATAGAAAGGGCAAAAATAGCTTTAAGTTAAGAAAAGTCAAAGAAAAAAGATGCCAAAATAAGCGGCACATGTGCTTTTTTCTCTTGGCTATTTCTCCCCCAACCAAGCAACAAACTTTCACCTTTTCTCTCATCTATCTTTCTTTATTCTCAATTTCCCTCATAATAAACAAGGCATTATCGAGTCCAAAACCAAAGGGAGCAAGTAGCCTAACGATTCTACAGATAGGTACAACAACCTTCTATGGTGACCAGTATCTCAAGTTGTTACGAGCAAAAACTCAAAAGGATCAAATTTAATTTGAAAACCAAGATTAAGTAACCTCGGGTTACATTTAAAGCAAGAAATTCAGACTTCAGAGTAACTCATAACATGCTTGCAAGTTCTTAACAATACACAAATCGTGATAGCACTCAAAGAAATTATCTTCACCAAAACAAGTTCAAATGACTTGACAGCATTTCATTATTATTTTAAAATTAATTAGTGAAAGGCTTCACATTGAACATGGACCTTAATCTTTTACACAATTCTAACTTTAAATAATACCAAAATGCAATGGGCCAATGAGCTCAATAAACAAAAAATGATTTAATAAGATCAAGCAATTCAGCTAAAGGAAAAAATGGAGTATGTATGCAGAAGCTATACATAAAAATTGAATAACATGAATGAATACCTGGAATGGTCAGCATGAGCAGCTAACCAAGGCTCAACCATTGAAGAGCCGAACCCATCAACTATTTGCCTTCTCCTCCCATCTTCGCCCCCCACCGGCCTCCCATTCACAAACGACCTGCTACACTCAGCCAGATTCGCCTGTTTCGCGAGCCAATTCAACACCTTCAACCCATCATCAAACGCAGCCGGATAGCGGCTCTCAGGTGCCAGCCTGTAACCGACTGCCACAACAATGGAATCACACGATTTGGCTATCCTTCTACAAAACAAATCATTGGCTACGGTGTCACAACCCCCACCCACCCACCCGCCACCATGAAACTGCAATATCACCGGCAATTTCCTGCAGTTCCTCCCATTCTTATCCGGCAAATACCCTCCATACCCTCCACTTTCAGACAAAGCTGGACTCTTCTCGTCCCTGGAGCTCACTTTAGCGGACGAAACCCTAGCTTTGATCTTAGGGATAGCGGCAGGCAACGCGACAGCGGAATCGGGGAGAAAAATCCTGAGAGAGAGAGAAGTCGAGGGGTCAATGTGGAGATCCTTGGTGGCGACGCCGTCCTCGCCGAAGCTAGGGTTGACGGCGGCGATGGCCTCGTCAGGGCGCGAAACGACGCCGTATACACGATCGGAATCGTTGCAGATCGGATACTCGATCAAGGTCTGCAATCGTCGTTTGAGGAGGAATTTGAACAAAACGCTGTACAATTTCACAGCCACGCTCGGCATCTCCGACGCGCATTACATTAGGAATCGCACACGTACATATAGATCCATCAATATATACAGATTAACATTGAAAATTAGGGTTTTTGAGTTTGAATCGGAAGAGAGATGGATTCAAATCTGTGGAATTTTCCGAGAAGGAGTTCGAATCTTCGGGTTGTGTTTGAATCTTTGTTTTCTTTATTACTCCACATTTCAATGGTCGTGACGGGGGGGACGATGGCGCGGTCTACGGCGACACGTCAGCGGCGTTGAAGGTGGATTAGAACGGCACAGTCATCTTCCAAAAAAAAGTCTCCTTAGATTTTCAAGATTTTATTACCCGAAAATTATTCTAGCTACTTAGTAATATACCCCGTACCAAAAAGATTTATACCTTTCAAAAAAATTACGTTTCACAATTTTTTATCCATTTCTATTAAAAAGCCACTTTTACCCCCACTTTTTCAAACCTTACCTATCACATTAGTCACATCATAGCTTTTTCTTAATAATCTACACATCACATATTACTTTTACCCAAAACATCAAGAGTATTTTTAGAAATTCAACACAAAATTATCATTCCCTTAATTTTGACTTTAGTCAAAATGTGTAAATCTTTTTGGGGCGGAGATAGTATTATATGAAATATACTCGGCTACCATGTATTTTTTGGTAAGATTTTTTAAATTTCATATTATTCGAAATGCACTTTATCCGTAATATATTTTGGAGTTCTTACAATTTAAATTATTATACTTTGAGGTTATATTATGTCCATTTAGGCGTGATTAAAAGTTTTTTTACCTTGAGAAATAGAAGAATTTTATTTAAGTTTAATAAAATTATGATTATGAGAGTAGAATTTAATACTTGTCAAAGTACTAAAACTTTTAATTATTACGGTCAATATAATTATAAAAATACATCAAATGACTAAAATAGAGAAAAAAAGAAAATGAAGTATAACCACATGAATAGTAAACAATCAATTTAATTTGAGACGCACTGAATAATATACAATGTCATTATGTAACAATGCACACTCTAATTTTGGAAATAAAAATATGAAACTTTTATTTTGGAGTTATAGTTATTTTTTTATTCCTATTTGGGGAAATATTTTCTAAAATCAATACGAGGGAGGTGATCATATTATAGCGGGGGAGATGAATAATATTTGTTTTGTGAATCCAATTTAATGCGGGATAGAGGAATCATAGAGTTAATTATTGCAGAGAAAAATAATCCTAGGAGCGGTAATATTTATTATTACTATTACACCCTTACTATTATTATTACCATTACTATTGTTGTTATTATTATTATTATTGAGTTTTAATTAATGTGAGAAAAAAGAATCATATAATAGTGGGAACATGAATCAATATTTTGCGAAATCTCAACTAATGTGTGTGTGTGGGCGGGGGGGGGGGGGGGGGGGGGGGG